AAAAAACCCAAAACAAACCCCAACAGCAGCTGGGGGAAAAAAAAAAAAAAAAAAGAGTGATGCAATGGGCAGAAAAGCCTATTTTTCGATACTGATCTGGCGTGAATGTAATCTGTAATTTCATAAAGGATTCATTGTAATTTAGTATTAATTCATGGCCATTTATTATAAAGTGCTACGAGATGAGGTTTCGCAGCTTTACTTTATTGGCAGCTTCTTCCTGCGAGTGGGGAAGCCCAAAAATGGGTGAATAACCCCCCAAAACGGGTGAACGACTCCCCTGAAATGGGCAAAACGTCCCTCAAATAGGCGAATCGGCCCCAAAATGGGTGAATTGACCCAAATCTGCAACGGAGCGCCGCGGGGTAAAGAGAATTTATACTTCCAAAAGTGATGCTCCCCCCAAAAATGAGTGATCCTCCCCAGCCCAAATGAGCTCATATGTGATTTTAACCCAAAATGAATGATGCTCCCCCAAAATTGTTGCACCTTGGGCTAAAATTAGTGATGCTCACCCCAAAATGACTTATATATCCCCCCAAATGAGTGATTCTGCCCCCCAAAATGTCTGGCGCTCACCCCAAAATGAGTTGTATTATCCAAAAATGAGTGATTCTGCCCCCAAAATCTGTGACGCTCACCCCAAAATGAGAGATATTCTCCAAAAATGAGGGATTCTGCACCCAAAATCTGTGATGCTCACCCCAAAATGAGAGATATTCTCCAAAAAAATGAGCGATGCTCCCCAAAATGGAAGTGTTTCCCCCCAAAAGTGGGATTTCCCCCAAATGAATGATGCTCCCCCAAAATGTGTGATGCTCACCCCAAAATGAGAGATATTCTCCAAAAAATGAGCGATGCTCCCCAAAATCGAAGTGTTTCCCCAAAAAGTGGTATTTCCCCAAAATGAATGATGCTCCCCCAAAACGTGTGTGAGTTGTTTTCCAAAAATGAGTGATTCTGCCCCCAAAACGTGTGACGCTCATCCCAAAATGAGTTGTTTTCCAAAAATGAGTTATTCTGCCCCCAAAATCTGTGATGCTCACCCCAAAATGAGAGATATTCTACCCAAAAAATGAGCGATGCTCCCCAAAATCGAAGTGTTTCCCCCCAAAAGTGGTATTTCCTCCAAATGAATGATGCTCCCCCAAAATGTGACGCTCACCCCAAAATAAGTTATATTCTCCAAAAATGAGTGCTTCTGCCCCCAAAATCTGACGCTCACCCCAAAATGAGAAATATTCTTCCCCAAAAATGAGCGATGCTCCCCAAAATGGAAGTGTTTCCCCCCAAAAGTGGGATTTCCCCAAAATGAATGATGCTCCCCCAAAACGTGTGACGCTCACCCCAAAATGAGTTGTGTTTTCCAAAAATGAGTGATTCTGCCCCAAAATCTGTGATGCTCACCCCAAAATGAGAGATATTCTCCAAAAATGAGTGATTCTGCCCCAAAATGTGTGATGCTCACCCCAAAATGAGAGATATTCTCCAAAAATGAGTGATTCTGCCCCCAAAATCTGTGACGCTCACCCCAAAATGAGAGATATTCTCCCCCAAAAATGAGCGATGCTCCCCAAAATCGAAGTGTTTCCCCCCAAAAGTGGGATTTCCCCAAAATGAATGATGCTCCCCCAAAACGTGTGACGCTCACCCCAAAATGAGTTGTGTTTTCCAAAAATGAGGGATTCTGCCCGAAAATTTGTGATGCTCACCCCAAAATGAGAGATATTCTCCAAAAATGAGTGATTTTGCCCCAAAATGTGTGATGCTCACCCCAAAATGAGA